ACATCCATTCATCGAACTTTAACTAGATGCCTACTGGGTGCCAGGCGGTGTGTAGAGCTGGAGGTTGTGTGGTGAATACACTCCTTCAGCCTCGTTCTCAGGAGGTCACAGTGAGGAGGCCGAGAGGGTGTAGGACACAGCCTGGTCCCTCCGTCTGCTGGACGACTCAACCCTCTGGAGCAACCCTGCTCATGAAACTCCCCCATGGGGCCCAGGAGAGGCCAAGATGTTGTCAGGGAGATGGAGAAACCATTTCTTCACCTTGCACAGGAGGCAGACCTCACCCACTGCCAGCAATCCCCTGAGGCAAGAGCGGGGCCTGAGGCAAGTCCAGCTCACACCCTGGCCGGGGGCAGGGATGGGGCAGGTGGGGAAGGCTCCTGCTTGAGCAATTGCATCAGGCCCAGGCTGAGCATAAAGGAGGGTCCTGTGGGCTGGGAGGTGGCAGACTCGGGGACCATGGAGACCCAGAGGGCCAGCCTCTCCCTGCGCCGCTGGTCACTGTGGATACTGCTGCTGGGACTAGCGGTGCCTTGGGCCAGCGCCCAGGCCCTGAGCTATAGGGAGGCGGTGCTTCGAGCTGTGGATCGCCTCAATGAGCAGTCCTCAGACCCCAATCTCTACCGCCTCCTGGAGCTGGACCTGCCGCCCAAGGCTGTGAGTCGGGGAGGGGCTGGGGAGGGGGGCGTCTCCCGCCAGGCTTGGCCACACTGTCCCTCCCTTTGCTCGCGCTGTACCTCCTGTCAGGAAGGCACCTCTCCCTCTAAGTGGGATCCCACCTCTCACAGAAATCCTCCCAGAGCTGGGTCCCCTCCCGTTGTGAGAGCCTTCTGCCTGGCATCTCTGCTGTGGGAACAGAGCCCTGACAGCCCGCTCAGGCTCCAGGGACTCCTGGGAGCTCCAGGGATACGCTGGGCTCACTGGCTCTGGGATGTGACTTCCCTGCTTCCAGTCCCCTGTGCACCCCAGTGTCTCCCCACCAGGGAAGGGCTGTGCTCAGCCTAGGGGTTCCAGTGACTAGGTCTTTCCCTGCAGGTGTCCCCTGACTTCCCTCAGCCCCTCCAAGAGGGAGGTGCCCCTCAGGAGAGGGGGTCTGAGGTCCCCTCCTTCTCCCTGTGTACCTGGGAGCCCAGGTCCAGGCTGTGTCCTCTTCCCCTCTGCTCCCAGCCCCCAGCCCAGGGCCAGGCACATGGGACGGTCTTTCAAGAGGGCTGTTCTGCTGTGGGGAAGGGAGACAGGTCACCCAAGGAAGCATGAGCCTGAGCCAGTCTCCCCACTTTGATCCTTCAGCAGGACGAGGACCTAGATGCCCCAAAGCCTGTGAGCTTCACGGTGAAGGAGACCGTGTGTCCCAGGAGGACACAGCTGCCACCGGAGCAGTGTGACTTCAAGGAGAAAGGGGTGAGGCTGGGAGCTGTGAACGCTGGCGGATGCGTCCCAAGGACCCGAACAAGAGGCTCCGGAGGGTGGTTAGCAGCCCCTGGGGTGAGGCTGTGTGTTTATGGCTCAGGGATTCCAGTCTGAACTAGAGGTTTCCCTTCCAGGTGGTGAAACTGTGTTTGGGGACAGTCACTCTGGACCAGGTCAAGGACCAAATAGACATCAGTTGTAATAAGGTGAGTGGCCCTTCTTGTTTTGAGCTGCTCCGGGGAGAGGCGTGGAACATCATTTGGACCAGTTTTGTTCTTTTTCATTCAGGGCTTCCCACCCTGGCTCCCCCATCACCTGAGCCCAAGTCCCCAGCCTGGGCTCTGCAATCCCTTAGAGCAGTGGTTTGTTCTCTAAGTGGCATTCTCACCTGGGAACTAGATGGAAAGGCAGGTTCTTAGTCCACATTCAGACCTACTGAGACAAAGTTGGGGTGGGTCCCAGAAATTTGTATTTTAAGAAGCCCTCCTGGGGATTCTGACTGTGCTGAAGTTTGAGAGGCACTGACTACAGTAATGGGATTTCTGCCTCTGCTTCTGTCCAGCTGTGGTGGCCAGTGATCCGGGGAGGCCTTGGCATCTCTGTGTCCTGGTTTTCTCATCTGTCTATGGGAGTAGGGATTCAACCACATGCTCCAAACTTATAGCCACAGGGTGAATGGGACCCAAGCCTCCAGGAGTGGCTCAGGAGTAGGATGTGTAGAAAGGGACCTGATTCATTTTGATTCAGGATCAGTACTGACAAGAAGCCTGTTTCTTCCTGGTTCACAGCTCCAGAGTGTAAGGCGATTTTTTCCACGACCATTTCCACCTGGACCCTTCCCATTTCCCCCTTTCCCACCAATCCCCCCTATACCACCATTTCCATTTCCTGGGCCGATTATTAGAGGACGACGGTGAAGGATTGGCTGATACCTTGCCCATCAGAGGATTCTGTTGAATTGTGAGCCCAGGGAAGTCCTAAGGGTCTTCTTTATTCTGGCTCAGTGTTTCAGATTCTGAAATAAATTGTTCTGAAAACAACTTCCTCCAGGTATCTCCCACTTACTGTGACCAGGTCCTAAACTCTGGGAGCCGAGTGTGTGTGTGGGTGTGTGCAAGCGTGTGTTTGCGTGTGTGTGTATCAGTGAATGTGGTCATTTCCGTGCGCACAGAGATGGGTGAGGCAGCTGTTCCTTCCAGGAGGGCGGGGGGAGGCAGT